TAGGGGTTTAGGGGTTTAGAGTAAAGAGAGGACGAGAGCATAGCTTAAAAACAGTTCAACGGCCTGCAGCCCTGCTGTCAAAGCCTGGATAATTCAACTGGGGCTTGCCGGGTCTTTCTTGACAATATGTAAATTTGAGTCTGAATCAATGTGTATATATATGTACATACATATATATATATATATATGTATATGTATATTATATATATATATATTTATATATATATATATATATATTATTATGTACAAATATATATACACATAAACGTAGCATCTTTAGTCGAAAGAGGTTACTTGTGTGTGTAACTATTGGTTTAATTGTGTATCGATAGGCTGTTCATGTATGCCCAGTTAGTCCGAACAGTGACACACCAAAACAACAACCCCAAAAGCAAGAAATTGCCTAAACCCAGCAAAACTCACAACCCAAACACACAGCAAGCTCCATGTATTCTGCAAACCCCGTATCCCATACTCCCGCACACTTCCCGTTTCACCAAACCCAAAACAAATCATCCCAAACCATGCCAATTGCCGCAACACCAATTTTAAAAATGAAACAAACAAACCTTGATCCAAGCGTGGTGTAACACACGCACACACACACACACAAACATGTATTCAAACAAGTGAATCAGATCGAAAGCACAGAAGACGGACACTGTGGTCAGAATGCAGTCTATCAAAGTCAAACTCTCTCGAGCGCCCCAGCACCACGGAAGAACACCCTCAAATCCCAAAGCCCCAAAGCCGCAATCCCTGAAAATCAAGACCCGTTCCACCCCACCCCACCCCTGCACACCTTCAAACCCACCATAATCACCCACCCACCCATCCACCCACCCACGAACCCACGAACCCACAACACACACACACACACAAAACAATCAATTAACCACCCACCCGCACCAAAATCAACCAACCAAGCAACTAACCAAGCAACCAACCAACCATCCAAACACATAAAACAACGGCCTCTGGGTTCCGCCGTAGCCCCGAGGCCACGCATTCCCCAGCAGTGCAGGGCCAACACCGCGGCAAAGGTTCCCTGTCATAGGTGTTGTGATTTAATGGTTTACGTTGTTGTACGTTGTTGTGATTGTTTGGGGCTGGCGGTCGGAGGGAAGGGGGTTTCGGGGCTTGGGTGATGCGGCAGAGAGTGTCCTTAAACCCGTAGAAGCCCTCGCGAAAAGCACCTTTGAGGGGTGAGGATTTCATTTAAAGTGTTGGGATCTTAAGGCTCTCAGGGTTTTAGGGTGTATAAAGTTTAAGGTTTTAGGGTTTAGAGTTACGGCCGGAGGGTTTAGGGCTCGGAGGATGGGGGCGTACTCTTCTGGGCAGCCGCGAAAGAAGTAATGTAGGGGCCTTAATAATTCCAATAGGGTTTTGGGGTATATTGTACTAGAGTTGTAGTCTGCAAAATAGTATAGGTCATCATCCAGGCCCCTATATTACAGTCTGGAGAACCCGCATTCTAGAACTCACAACCCAATTCCAGCTAGACCCTCCATCTACCCTCTGCTCGACCCTAAATGGCCCGAAAGACCCACAATTAGGGACCACGTGCTCCTATTGACTTGAGGGTACAATGAGTCTCCAGTCCTACATACTACTCTTCTACGGTTAAGGGTTTAGGGCTATACCCCAAACCCCCGAAACCCAACTGTCTAAAAGAGGGGCCTTAATAAACCCGAACAGGGTTTGTAAAATGTTCTACTACATGAACAATAAACACGGGCTAAGGAAACTTTAGCATTGACCACGCAGGCCTCGATAATTAGAATAGGGTTGTGGGGGCTCCTTATTATGATTATAGTATAACATACCCCCAAACCCTATTCTAATCATTAAGGCCCCTACATTACAGCTTTCTGTTGCATACTACGGAGTGCACTCCAGCGGGCGAAGGCTCCAGGAAATGAGCGAAGGGCACTGCTTATGACGACGACGACGACGACGCTCCGCCTCCAGCTGTGTGTGCTGAGCGCCCGCGCGCTGCGCGCGCATCTCTGTTTGTTGCTGAAGTTGCTCCTCATAGTGACTCTTCTGTTCATGATGCCCCTGAGAGCAGGAAGGGGTCTACTGCTTATTGATCAGGGGTCTTCATCTATCACAGACTTTGTATAAACCTGAGCAGGCAGTGACACAGGTGAATTGCAGGCCATGTGCACGAAACCTGTGCTGAACAAGTCATGCCCGTCTCGTGAACAAGGTCAAGGGTTTAGGGTCTGTTATTTTAGGCATAAACCTATGCAGTCGAATTCATGAGAACCCAGATGCTTTGAACACAATGAATCTATCCTGCATAGATGGTACAATGATAAACTGCACTAAAACCTAGACATGAAATTGAAAACCAAACCCTAAACCCTATGCAACCCTCAACCCTAATCCGCGAAGCCCTAGACCCCAACCCCAAAGCCCGCAAACCCCCTACAGCCTTAAACAACTTCATCGACTGGCCTGCTTCTCCACCGTCCAACCGGCAAGCTCTCCTTTGGATAACTCAGCTTACACCCGAGTTGTGCAGGGTAGTTTCGGCTTTGGGATTTAGGATTTAGGGTTGTAGGTTTTGTAAGATTTTATAGATTTTGTCATGTTCTCATAGGCGACAAAGAGCGGGGCTTTTTGGCACCCACTGTCTGGAGTGGCTGTTTGTAGTGCTTGAAGACCAACCGATTCGGATGCGGCACAGCTACATTCTGCCACGAACAGGTGGTGTTCTTTGCAGTATACTCCCTAAACCCCAAACCCGGAAGCCTGAATCTAAATTAGACATTAAAGAATCACAAACCACAACACATGATAACACTACTAGTTCTAGGGGCTAGAGGCTGCTATAGTCAGCTACGACTGTGATTGAGTAAACATGCGGGGTGCAAGGCATCGGATTTAGGGTGTGGTGGATAATGGGCTTTCTGCAGCCAGCGCAAAAAGGCCTGCAAAGTTGCTGGTATTGTCGAGTTTGACGGTAATGTTTCAATACTTGTCGATTTGCAAAGTGAGTACGAATGCTGATGCTGCTGCTCTTGCTGCTACGTTTGCTGTTGATGCTGCAGTTGCGGTTGCGGCTTGCTGTTGTGCTTACTATTGTGGTTGCTATTGCTGCTGCTGGTGTTGTAAGAGTTGTTGTTGATTGTGGCTGTGGTTGTGGTGCCTGCGGTGCCGGTGGTGGTGGTGGTGGTGGTGGTGGTGGTGATGGTGGCGGTGGTGGTGGGGGTGGCGGTGGCGGTGGCGGTGGGGGTGGCGGTGGCGGTGCTGCTGCTGCTGCTGCTGCTGCTGCTGGTCGTGGTTGTCGTTATGGTTGTTGTGGCTGGTGTGGTTGTTGTAGCCGTTGTGGTGTAGTTGTCGGTTCTTTGTCGCTTTCTTCATATTCGCCAACTCACCGATGTGCCCACTGCAACCCCGCACCTGGGTGTGACAACTCTTCGGCGGGAAGATGGTAAACTGCGGGAGATAATCGCGCAACACTGTGAATATCTGTGAATCATATTCTGAGATATTCTGGTTTTATTTGATCCTGTCTACGCTTCACCAACGCTAACCGTGACACATCAACTCCTGCAGCCCTACGTCTTGCCCTGGTCTGGGGGGAACGGTGAGGTCGATGAGAGCCGAGCCGTAGATCAGCGCGCCGGTGACGGCCGCTGCGATGCCCGACAGCACCTCGCAAGCGTGGCAAAGCAAAAAGGTTAAGGCTCGAGAATGTGCGGTCTAGGACATTTAGACAATCCAGGTGCACCGAAACACGGTGTTCTGGTAGTCGACGATGTACAAACTACTACTTACATCGCCTTGGCTCGACTACAGTGTCGGAAGCTTCCATGAAAAAGTAGGCACGACAGGAGTCAGAAACCCAAATCTAGTCTTCAGTGTAGTTCCAGTGATCTGGTGCATCAGCTCTGTCTTGATCACCCTATAATACTTACAAAGCAAGGAAACACCTGCCAAAGACAGATAGACGAGATAATCAACCCAAACCCTAAACCGGGCAATATAGGCGCCTTAATAATTAGACTAGGGTTTCAATTATAGTAAAAAGCCCCCAAAACCCTGTTCTAATTATTCAGGCCCCTACAGTACTGGACCAGGTATAGGACGCATCCTGGCAAGATGCTGCAGACACCAGAAATGAATACCGACTCTACCTCTAGTCTCCATTGTAGTTCCTTTTGTTGCTTTAACCAATTTCGAAGTTACAAGTAGGATCATATAAGGTAACTTCAAAAAGGAACTACAATGGAGCCTATAGGTAAGAACAAGGGTCCTAGAATTGGTTGCTTGTTTCGGATTAGGGCGATTAGGCTAAAGTTCTGGTAAAGAAGGTTTGCGCTAAACACTAGAGTCTCACATTCGGACACAATCTCACATTTTCTGTGACTACGCAAAGGAAGCCGTAGCAAAATGTCCAACAGTATTAGCGCAGTGCCTACAGTATGGGCACTGAGACAGCTATCAGCGCTGCTGTTGATGTGGCAGCAAGCAGGTAGCTAGCTCACTAATCGCACAACGACATCTATAGAGTCTCTGTGCACTACCATAAGATAGCATTCAGGTACTTAGCCGCGACTTGGCTGAGCCCTGAATACAAAATCGGACAAAACTCAAGGCGACTGCAAGCACGAACGCAGATACATTCTTTGACCGGAGTTGAAATAGTTGCATAAGCCCCGTGCCCGACATTCTAAACTCTAAACTTTGTAACCCTTGAACGACTGTAGCAATACAAACCAGTACAGCAATAATCATACGAACGCCCTAAAACCCTGAGAATTTTAAATCTCACTTCTTTAATCAGCCTGAAGAACGAGTTACATCCAACTTATACCATGCAAGTCCAGATGAAAACCCTAGTAAGCCCTGTAAACCCTTTGAAGAAAATCCCTAAAACCTTGAAGCCTATAAGCCCTAAAGCACTAAACCCTCAACAATCCGTAACCAAGAAACCACAAAAAGTAAACAACACCGCCAACACCATCACCACCACGACCATCACCCCCAACACCAACACCAACACCAACACCGAGAGCAGCAGCAACAACAACAACAACCACGACGACGACGACTACGATTGTGAGTCACAAATCCCTATTACAGCCCCAGAATCCCAAATAATTATTTTTATGGTTTATTTATGATTATTTTATGATTTGCTGTTTTCTTGGTTTATGGTTTTTTTATGGTTTTTTTTATGGTTTATTTATGGTTTTCATAAAAAAAAAACATAAATAAATCATAAAACAATGCAAATTTATGATTATTTTATGATTTTCTTATGATTTTTTTATGATTTAGCTATTTTCCTGGTTTATGGTTTTTTTATGGTTTATTTATGTTTTTTTTATGGCTGTTTTTTGCTTGTTTTAATGTTTTTGTTGGCTTCGTGTCCCTATTGTGTTATGGGTTTAAATTTAAAGAAATAATTGACTTAGTTGTGGCACTAATTCATGAATTCAATGTTTCATGTGTTTGTGATGTGTATTTCTCGGTTGGATGGCTCTTGGACATATGAAACGAACAGACGACATAACGACGAGAAGGGCCAATAATAACATATGTTTTTCACAAGCTGTCACAAGCATATGAGAAACATGACACGAAGGACTCTAGGGGTTAGATTCTAGAGTCTGGAGATTGAGACCGAACCATTAACTTCATCCAAATAGTTTGATCAATGCCAACTTTCACTTGCCAATTCAATGTTCCAATCTTCGTAAAGTCGGAAACATGGAACGAAAAGGATATATACATAGATGTGTACAGATATATAAAAACAAAACAGACAGAAGCCATTCTACTCTTCATTGGATAATCAACTAGCAAATGGAAAAGCCTGCACACATGAAACTTATCAGACTTATCAACAACTGCATCAGTTATCTCAGGATCTGATATAACATAATCGAAACAGAAATTCGTGACGTATGCAATTCTGACGTCGGTGTAGAATCCCAGTCAATGCAATCATCATTTGGTGGGGTGCGAACGTTTAGGTTTAGTCCACGTGGTCGGTTCATCAGCTACAGTGGATGGCCCAATTTCTCGGGGGGGTTGCATTTTGAAGCTTAGCTGTGCCACTGTTTAGCGTTCAGTGTGCTTGCGAGGTGTGTATTTGTCGGTTGGACCGTTGCTTGGACACATGAAACGAACAACCGAGGTGAAGACGAGAGCCGATAAGGCCGCTAAGGCCACTAAGGATTCATGTATCTCACAAGCATATGGGACAAGAGCAGATAGGACAGGAGAAACATGACACGAAGCGCTGTGGAGGTAGGGCAGAGAGAGCACTTGTAAACTGAGACCCAACCATTAGCAATCATTATAGCTTCATCCGAACACTTAGTTAGATCAATGCCCACTTTACCTATCCATGATTCCAATCTTTGTAAAGTCGGAAGTATGCAAAGCGCAGGATATAGACATCAAAACTTTATGTATACATAAACAAAATTAACGGAATCCAACTTATTCTCCATTGGAAAATCAACAAATATATGGAAAAGCCTAGGCCTAGACGTAGGCACCTTAAATCTAAAATTAAAACAGATTTATGAAATATCCCAGAATATGATACAATATAATATAACCGAGTCGAAAATATGTGATGTATGCAAGAACAACGTTATGCCACCATGAGTTCAGCCACCATCACCTTCGGTCACCATCGTCAAAATTGTCACACAGAATGCCATCTCCTTCTGGAACCTTGTCACCGTTGTCCTCACACCTCCCATCTCCTCATCGTCATTGGCCGCATCATCCTCCAGCCCCCTCTTCATCGTCACCAGTACAGTGGACATCCACAGCACAATAAATTGATGCAGTTAGGTTAGGTCCATGATCATGCTGTTATCACCATGCCATGGCCACATACAGATCACTTTACCCCACTGTTTTCATCCAGCGTTGGCGCCATCGCCGGCTTGTTTGTGGGGTCACGAATGACCGTCCCTTTCCGATCACACTCCAGAGATGCCAGAGTCTCCAATAATCATGCTATTGGTGTTACTGTTATTGCCACCTGATACCCGCAGCTGCCTTCTGCTACCAAGCTTTTCGATGCTGCTAACTGCTAACATAGCAATCCTATTGAGGTGAGGACTTGAAGCTTAGAGTCTAGAGCTTAGGCCGCTACCACTACTCACTACTGACTGTCACTACTGTCACTACTGAGTCACTACTGCCACTGCCGCAGCACTGCTGCTAGCTGCTATGCCAATGCTTGAATCACCTGGTCGTAGGCCCGTAGGTCTGATCGGAGTTTGATGGGCACTCAACAGTTGGCCACCCAGTTGGTCGACGCAACGGAAAACTTTAAAAAGGGCTGCATCAGGCTCGGCTTTGAGGATGGGTGGAGAAAGGCGAGGTGGCGAGGCCGACAACTTCGGGTTTCAGGGCTTCACCAGGGTCTAAGGTCTTAAGGGTCCTAAGTCCCAAACGTGCACAGGGCATGGCATATCGACTTTCACATTTGGCACAGCCTGCCACAACCCCTTTCTAGAGTCTAGAGTCCAGAACCTAGGGCCTAGAGACCTAGAATAGAATCAAAAGATCGTGACACACTGTCCCCAGCCGAGCCACAGCCAGGCACGTGATGGGGAATCCTGCCGCCCTCTAAACCTTAAGTTTGGGCCTGGCACCAGCTGCTACAGCCTTTGAGCGATCTGCTGCTTCGCACACACGCTTCACCTCCGCCAGCAACGGAGCACAAACCTGGCTTTCCGACAAACCATCTGCCAGCTCTGCAAGCTGGGACCGGAAGCCCTTCACTTTGGCTTCCTCGTCATCACTCTGGCAAAGAACAACCAGGGTTCCTTCGATCAAGAAGATACGAATGTCAATCACTTCGGCCTTGCCAATCTGCACCAACTTCACCAACCCGCTCATCTCCTTGAAGATGCTGCTCACTTTGTTTTGCCATCCTGCGGCCTCGTCCAAGGCCTGTGCAATGAAGAACCGAGTACAGCTAGAATATGGGGCAAACACACTCTTCACTCCACAGCTTATTAGTTAGTGATAGCGGGTAACGGTGGGTAACCCCAGCGACAAGCACACTCCACAACACACCCGTCTCCAGCCCCACATGGCCCTAGCTGCCCTACTTGCCATGCTATTTAACAGCAGCAATCAGCAGCAAACAAGCGACATCGCATGCAAGGACAGCCACTAGTCACTAGCGGCACCAGCCACCGCGAGCCCATGAGCAACTGGCCTAACCATGCGTGATTCCGGGGCAGTGTGCAACCAATTAAAAGCCAAAGTCCTGAATCTAGATTCTAGACTAGACTCTAGACAAATAAAACAACACTCCACACAAGTGGCGTACCATGAAAGCTTTGCCAGCTTTGCAGTCTGGCTCAACTCATGAAGAAACACATCTACATCGAATCTACCCTGGCAGGACGGCATGTAGCAGTCTAACGAGCATGAAAAAGTTAACAGCACAATGGACTGTTTTCGAGCAAAGAAACATGAGATGGGCACAACCATTCATTAAAGTAGTCACCACACCGGATGTGCCTTCCGGAAACGGTCTGTGACAGTCTCGAGCTTGTTGACATCGACCCACATGATGGCTGCGGTGGCAGCGTCGAGGACTTGCTTCAAGGACATGCCCTCCTTGATAACCTTCTTCCAGTTGCCATCCTTGTGGTTGCCATGTGTGA